CATTCTCTCTCTCTCTCAAATAAATAAATAAAATCTTTAAAAAAAAAAAAAAATGCAAACCTGGCCCTGTCGTATCCACACTGTCAGGCCTGTAGGATGTTACCTCCACCCCAGCACACCTGCTTCATTTCCCCCAAAGCAGTTACCATCATCCATACTTTCCATTTGCTTGTCTGCCATCCATCTCCACTCACAGGAATATTGAGTCTGTGAAGGGTGCCTCTTATAGGCACACAACGAACCGAAATCTGGCCTCAGTAAAAATACTGAACGAGAACTCCATGGTGCCTTGTGATGCTTGGTCAGAGGGTCCACTTAGCCTGCCAGAGGTGCCAGTTCTGTTCCTGGTGCCTGCGTGAAAATTGCTGGCACCTGTGACTGATCCTACTTGACAGAGTGCTCTGTGTAGAGATTTAATGCTCAGTGGTTGGCTAAAAATTTGTCCCATGAAAATATTACATCTATAATCAGAAATGTCATCCTTGGCTTTACTAAAAGCTTCACCTTCTTTGGGGGTTTTAAAATGCTGTTTACCAGGTCCCTCGATGAGTGCTATTTAAATAAGTCTGAACTGCTGAAATTGCTTTTCCCACCCACCACCTTCTTTATTTAGGACTTGGCAAAATTAAAACATTAGTTAAATGCTCACTCTTTTGTAGATGATCTGTGTGGCTTTTAATACGGAGTAAAAAAGATACTGAAGCACAAAAATATTTCCTGTATCTTGTGAACTAGAGAATCTTTGAGGAAGGAAGTTTTTTTTTTTTTTAACTCTTTATGGCATTCATTTTTTGTTTTACAATCTAAGTGTTATTATATAAACTCTTAACAGAAAAGAAATATTAACAGTATTTGTCAGTGCAACCAAAAAGTGCTAACAGGTCATTGTGCCCTTTCTTTGAAAGAGGGCCTAGGGATTTTCTGCTGAAGGGAGTTAAGAGTGCTAGCAGGCATTAGAGGATTGGAAATGATTGTCTGAATTAGATCTGTGTCTTAAGATTGCATCAGGTTTTGAGAAGCTTTGGGGGGTGTCAGAAGCCAGGGTGGCCCAGTCAGCACATGAGCTGGACTTTTCCTCGTGGTGGTGCTTAGCTGGTGCTGAGGCCTTTCCTTCTCTAAATGCCTCTTGGCGGCAGTGGTGCTAGGTTCAGCTCCAGTGTGGACTCCGGGGAGTGCTAAGCCTGGAGGGAGGAGGTCTGGAGCCCACCTTTGTGGCCAGTGTGCTGTGCTTCCGGGACGTGGCATAGATCTTTGCCAGAGATGCTGTGTTGGGTGTCTTTGGTTTTCAGGGAGTGATCTTAAAATCTGCTGCATGAGTGCTCAGTCCTTGTGGACAGACAAGGGGCATCAGGTGTGCAGGAAGATTCAAAGTGAGGGTAGCACCAACCCGTTGGAAATTTACTTGCAGATATCATCTGCTCTTGTTTATTTCACACCTATATTTTGTACTTTTGCTTTTATTTTTTAAAGATTTGTTTATTTTATTTTTAAATTTTATTATGTTAATCACCATAATCATCATTAGTTTTTGATGTAGGGTTCCATGATTCATTGTTTGCGTATAACACCCAGTGTTCCATGCAGTACGTGCCCTCCCTAATACCCTTCACCAGCCTAGCCCATCCCCCTACCCCCCCCCATAACCCTCAGTTTGTTTCTCAAAGTCCATAGTCTCTCATGGTTCATCTCTCCCTCCGATTTCCCCCGCTTTATTTTACCCTTCCTTCTCCTAATGTCCTCCGTGCTATTTCTTATGTTCCACAAATAAGTGAAACCATATGATAATTGACTTTCTCTGCTTGACTTATTTCACTTAGCATAATCCCCTCCAGTTCCATCCATGTTGATGTAAAAGTTGGGTATTCATCCTTTCTGATGGCTGAGTAATATTCCATTGTATATATGGACCACATCTTCTTTATCCATTCGTCTGTTGAAGGGCATCTCAGCTCTTCCCACAGTTTGGCTATTGCGGACATTGCTGCTATTGTTTATTTTAGAGAGAGAGTGTGTGCCAGTGCATGCGGGGTGGGGGAGGGGCAGAAGGAGAGAAAAAGAGGGAATCTCAAGCAGGCTTCACACCCAGCATGGAGCCAGGTGTGGGTTCGATCTCACAACCCCTGAGATCATGACCTCTCTTTAAAATATACAATTTTCTGAGTCTGAAGCAAAAAAGGACAAAGTGCTGCGGTGCCTGAGTGGGTCACTTGGTTAAGCATCCAACTCAGGAGTATATTTTAAGCTTTTTCCATTAAAATGTGTAGATTTGCTAGGCTCTTTTTTTTTTTTAAGATTTATTTGAGAGAGCAAGAGAGAGAGAGCACGAGCAGGGGGAGGGGCAGAGGGAGAGGAAGAAGCAGACTGCCTGCTGAGCAGAGAGCCCGACTTGGGGCTTGATCCTAGGACCCCGAGATCATGACCCGAGCCGAAAGCAAGAGCCAGACACTCAAGCGACTGAGCCACCCAGGCACCCCTAGATTTTAATTTTTTTTTTTTGTTTTTTTTTGTTTTTTTTTTAGATTTTAATTTTTAAAGAAGATGGCAGTAGAAGCACGGAGATAACATCTACTGGCAGGAGTATATATTTAATTAGGGCCTTTGGGAGATAATTTAGTGTCCCTGAGAAACCTGACCATGTAAACTAGGAGACAGGTACAAGAGCGTTCACAGAAGCATTGTGTTTAGTAGCAAAACAGGAGCCATGGGCATTGACAGAAGAATGGACACATTCGTTGTATATTCATCCAGTGGATGCCGTGCATCAGTGACCATGAATAAAGGATAGCCATGCATATCATAATGTGGAGGAATCTCAGAAATAGTGTTGAGAAAGAAAGGTCACTGAGAAGTACAGTATGATTCCAATTATTTGAAGTTCATAAGCAGATAAAAATTAAACAAGATATGGCTTTGGGATGAATATGTATTCATATTCATTCATACAGGTAAAACTGTAAGGTCAAGGAAGAAGATGCTTAACACATCTTCTTAACACAAAGTAACCACTTCTGGGGAATGAGGGAAGAGACGAGCTTCTGGGATACTAGAGGGTGTTTGATTTATTATTATATTTAAATTGTACATGTACCCTCTAAACACTCTTTATACTTTGTTGCGAGAAAAAAGCTGTTAGAGTAAGTAAAAATATCTGACGTTTGATTTTTCCTTATTTCCAACCTTATTTTTCATTCCAGCCGATAAAAAAACAAAGGAATGCCGTGTTTTCTGTTTTGACCCAGTTTTGTAGTTGGGACAATGGTAGAGTTAGTTTTGTTTTAGATAGTTAAAAAGATGCACACTTTTTAAACTACAAGAACTGACTTTAGAAATAAGCCTTGCTAACCCACCATTAATGGGAAAATATTTTCAGGAAAGGTGGAAATCACATGTGCATTTTTGAAAGAACCCGGAGAACAGAGAATGGGGAAATGGGGATTTACAGAGAGTAGATGTCATGGAGGTGGGTTTAGAACAGGTTCATTCATTCATTCATGCTGCTCCTACTACTACTAGTTCTTGTGTGGAGATGCCATTTACTGAGAGCTGTATTGTGAGTACGAGCTCTTATCATCCCCTCTTTAAGGATAAGGAGACCAGGAACCCAGGGTCCCAAAGCAACCTAGCACATATTTAGCAGAGCTAGGATTCTAACTAAGGTCTTACGTGATCATGGATTGGAATTATGCTATACTTTGGGAGTCAAGTGAGTTTAGCACGACGGTGACATGAGGAGGTTGGGTAGTTTCAGGTATCTGAGAACTAAATTGTAGAAGTGGGGGGTTGGGTTTGTTCTGTGTTGCATACTAGAAAGAGTGATGAGAAACTCAGGGAGACAGATTTCTGCTCAGTATGAGAGAGAACATTTGATGACCAGGTCTCTAGCTTTATTTCCATCTGCACCCCAGCCCCTGTGTTGGAGTTGGTGGTCAGTAGCTGTTTGCTGAATGAAGAAACGAGGAGGCCAAGTGAGGACGTGGTGAGCCCATCATGACACCTGCCCCAGCAGACCGTGTGTGTGCTTCTGTTCAGGCCACTACAGAAGTCACTACACTGGTTAGGAAGTTGGGCTAAACGCCTGAAGTCCTTTCCCACGAATGCTACACTCCACCTGCCTCATCGCCGTTGGAGTTCTTAGCCCAGCAGTGAACATGTTCCAATATGATGGCTTTGGGAAATCATTTGAGTCTCCCAAAATCATCATAAAAGCTAAAATGACTTTTTGGAGGGCAGGACTCTTTTTTCCTGTGGTATTACTAGCATCTAACACAGGTACGTAGCATGTGCCACACTGGTACTGAATGAATTGTGGAAAGAAAGCTGTCGAGGAGGGAGTAGACTGACCAGGGGCACGATGATGTGGTGTTGTTGAGACTTTGAAATCCATCGGGCCGTAAGGAAGAGCTCTCTGTTGTTTGTGATTGTTAGGTTTGTTCACTAGCCTGTAGGTTTTGAGCACTAAAGACAAAGTCCATTTTGACAAAAGTAAGTTTTGGTTTTCACTATGATACGCCTGAGGAGTGGCGCCTTTCTGCATGTGGTACTGGCTTGGTAGCCACCAGGTTTCTTCTTTATAAAGTCAATTGTCATGAATGCGACCAAGATGCACTTATGTACCTGAGAAGTTTACTACAGCGTAATGATGAAAGCTTCTGGTATCTCTTAGTTCCATGAGAGACGCTGTACTTACAGGCTTTCCCACATAGCTCACAGAATGCGCACAGCAAACCCGTGAGTTTGTGGACGAATAGAGATGCAAATAATTTCAGTTGGATTTTTGAGCTGACCCAGCAATTTTCCTTACAGACCAGAGTGAGCTCCGAGCAGGAACATTTCCTCATTGTTCCCTTTGGACTTCTCTATAGTGAAGTGACTGCATCCAGTTTGGTAAGAATATCCTTTTCCTCCTGGACACCACATATGTTTAGGTCATAGTCGATAATTAAACACCTTTTAATCCCATGAGACATGTAGAACCTAAGAAAGAGGAAGAAGTTTATGTTTTGTGTGATAAACTCAGAGAAAAAAAAGCTTTAGAATTACTTATAAAAACTTTAAACTTTGGTTTAAATAATTTCTAGGAAGGGTCATTTGAAATCCTTGGAAGCTAAGCAGGGTTGGGCCTGGTTAGTACTTGGATGGGAAATCCTCTTGACATTTTAAATTTTTATTTGCTTATTTTCAGGTTAAAATCAATATACAAGGAGATGTAGTAGATCGTGGAAGTACTAATCTGGGCGTAAATCAGGCTGGCTTTGTGTTACATTCTGCCATTTATGCTGCGCGACCGGATGTGAAGTGTGTGGTGCACATCCACACACCAGCAGGGGCCGCGGTGAGTGCGCTGCTCGGGTAGCGACCCAGAGTTGGAAGCTGTTTAGCGAAAGGCACTTCACATTTCCTCACAGTTGTGCTCTCTTGAGGCAACAAGTCAATAAGCCTAATTTTGTTGGAGTAAAAAAGGTCTTTTACTAAGTTTGACTTTCTTAAAAGAATTTTTTTTCTTTTAAGGGGTCCATACACTCTCTAGTTTTGGAAAACCTGTGTGAATCTGAAAGTGTCCATTAGACTTAACAGAAACCAGAAACTCGGAGCGTGTTGAGGGGGAGGTCAGACTTCAGTGTGTGGAAGACCACTGGGAGCTGCAGAGGGAGGGCCAGAAGCGGACACCCTGTCTGTGAAGAGGGTGGGGAGGGAGGGGCCCAGACAGGCTGCTGGGGGAGGGTGCTATGGGCTCAGGGAAGTGCTAGTGGGATGCAGGAGACCTGGGCCTGCTGATGGTCCCTGGGGAGGAACCAGGTGTGAGAGGGGGAGGTTGAGGCCTAGAAGCCCCTAGATGGCTGCCTGGAGCCAGCAGACGCCCGGGCTGGATCATGATAGGACGGAGAGGAGGAGCGGCTGTTGCAAGATGAAGGCACAGACCTCGTAGGCTATTAGGAGACCTGGCCTCCAAGCCCGGAGCTTCCCCAGAGCCCACCCCAGCCTGGTCACCAAGCTTGGGCCCTTCTGGTGCCCACAGGCCAGACCTCCCAGCATGAACATGCCCATTCCAGTTGTTGGTACTACAACTATCCAGAAGTGGCTTTTTATCACCAGTTATGTACTTAAATGACTTTCTGGGCTTATTTATTTGTACCACACATAACCTCATGGAATCAGTAATGCTGAATTTTCACCTATCTTGATGTTTCAATGTCATGCGTATTAGATTGTTTTGATGAATGTTAGATCTATCTGGCTTATTTATTTTACTTTGAATATGTGGTTCTAGATATCAACATAAGAGTTTTATTAGAGCTATCATTTTCTGAAAATTTTTTCTAAAAAAATGCGTGCTCTTCCAACCACAAAAAGTCCATGCATTTTAATGAACCGTTAGAGGTACCTTTGAGAAAATGGTTACAAACAGCTTACCGTGTAATTTGTTTTAAAACATACCGAATCACTTCACTTGGAAATTTCTTCTCCTGGGAAGGCTGATGCTGTGAGTGGGATTAGACGTGGTGTCGCCTTTTTCACGGTGGTGTCTTTTAGATGAACTTTTGTGTGGATGCTGTTGGAATCTTTGGAGCCTGTTAGTCTAGGTAGAAAACCTTCAAAATTAGCACGTTCCAAAGTCTGTTTGGGAACGTTAAGGAAACCTAAGGCCTCTATGAACACTTAAGATTGTTTTATTGCAATAGAAGATAAATTAGCATAATTATTCTAAACTTCAGAAATTGGCTTTTATCTACATTCCAGTTTTCGGTCTCCCCTACAAACCGAGATGACAAGTGCGTCAGAACCTTACAGCATGTCCAGACCCCCTCTTTGCAGGGTCATGGCTCAGTCAGAGGGAGCCCTTTCTGTCCTCGCAGTAGGGCCCGGGCTCATCTTGCCAGGAAGCCTGAGCTCATACAGCATTACGATCAGTGTGGGAGAAGTCCAGAAAGATGTGGAATTTCTTTTGAGGCTCTCCCAGCGTCATGATGCCTTTGATTTTTAAGCGTACATTGGTAGTAAGCCCCAGAAGTTCATCTTAAGTTCATAGGTTCATTTATCTGAGAAGAGAACAAAATAAAATATGTTCCCCTTTTTATTTCTTTGAGGAAAGCGTTTGCCACGTCATCAATGTATGACTGTCGATTTGCCTTCATTCATGGTGACTGCTTCTTCTCTAGGTCTCTGCGATGAAATGTGGCCTCTTGCCAATCTCCCCGGAGGCACTTTCCCTTGGAGAAGTGGCTTACCATGATTATCATGGGATTCTGGTTGAGGAGGAGGAAAAAGTATTAATTCAGAAAAATTTGGGGCCTAAAAGCAAGGTCAGTAGGCATCTAATCTGGTATTTAAATTCTAGAGGAAAGAAGAAAAAAGTCAAAGTAGCTATCTTCTTGCCTAGCTCCCTCAAGCTTTTGTGTTTCTCCGCAGGTTCTTATTCTCCGGAATCACGGGCTCGTGTCGGTCGGAGGGAGCGTTGAGGAGGCCTTCTACTATATCCATAACCTGGTGGTTGCGTGTGAGATCCAGGTAGGCAATGGCCGCTCTCTGCAGGCTGTGGCTTATTTGGGCGTTTGCAGGGTTCTTGTAGATTTTTGATACTTGTTTTGTAGGAATGAGTCTTTGCATAATCTCTCTGCCCAATATGAGCTAGTAGATTTGGAAATTGCCCAGAGCAAATGCCATTTCACTGATTTAAGTTGGTGAATGATTACTGGGCTTTTCATTTCTAGTTTTTTGTTATTTAAATACATAAGTCACCACTATTTATGGAGTGCTAGTGTGTGCCAGCCCCGGTATCAGATGCTTTATTTACATGTTATTTCATTTGTCCCTCGTGGTGCTGTCCATGGAGAAGCAGGTACACGAGAGGGAGAGATTTGCCCAGGCACCACTGAGCCAGCTCTGTTCAACCCCAAGTCTGTGCTCTCCCCACTGGTACCTTGACTTCCATCTGGGCAGCACTGCAGTCCCCAGGCTCCTTTCATACAGCCTTAAAAAGGACATTGTTTCCCCATTTCTCCTCCAAGCATGAGTGCCCAGTATCTTTGTTTTGCTAAAGAAGAGCTTCTGAAAATGACCTTGTGTGTGGATAGTCTGTCTCTGTCCATCCTCCATTTTTTATTCTTACACTCTGATGACTTGGTTTCTTCTGAGAACTACATTTCTGTTTGAGTAATCTTTTATCATCATCTGACCTGATTCTCTTGCCTTCAGTAAGGAACTCAAACTGTACTATTTGCTTGTTTTGGAAAAGGTTCGAACTCTGGCCAGTGCAGGAGGGCCGGACAACTTAGTCCTCCTGGATCCTGACAAGTACAAAGCCAAATCCCGTTCCCCGGGGTCCCCGGCTGGGGAGGGCACCAGCTCACCTCCCAAGTGGCAGATTGGCGAGCAGGAGTTTGAAGCCCTCATGCGGATGCTCGATAATCTGGTAAGAACATTGTTACCACCTGACAATAAGGCTTTTGTTCTGAAAGCAGCAGGCTGGTGTTTTTATAGCAAGTGAAATTGCTGTCTTCCTGTGGTATCTGAATGCTCTCACCCTCAAAAATCATGAAGAAGTATCAGGGCAATTGAACTCCTAAGTTACGATAAAATACAGAGGGGAGGGTTTCTTGTGTTCCTTTGTTGTTTGAGAGGAATCGCCTTTGGACGACGGTGTGGGGACAAGAGCACTAGAGCGTGCTCTGCTCGGGAGCGGCTAGGTTGCCCCTGGGGTAAGCAGTCAGTACAGCACCCGTCCTCCCACAGGCCGGGGGGTCGGGGCGGGGGGGCTTCTTATCAGCTAGCCAAGTGTTTGGCTTTTTGTTTTAACAGTAAGTTCTAGCTACATGGGGCCCGATTACTGTGTTCCACAGACATTTGCTGCTGATTCACTGTGTGGGAGACCCCCTCCTCCGTATCGCAGGGACACAGAGCCCAGCACTGCACGGAAGCTGGGACCGTGGTGTTTTCAGGATACTAGGGCTATTCGGATGGTACCCAGCAGGATGTGGTCTGTGTTAGACGGTTCAGTGAGGGACCTCATCCTTTGGGAAGGATCAGGGAGGAAACTTACTTGGATGTCACTTGGAAATGACCTCAAAGAGTAGGTAAAATTGTCGTAGGCTGAGTTGGGAGAAGGAAGGTGACTGTGCGACCGAAGACACCTCAGAGGGGTGAGGGGTGCGGATATGCCTTCCTGGTGTGAGTAGGTTCCTCAGATACTCAGAACAAGGCATCATAAGACAAACGATTCTGTCCTCCAGAGACTTTGGGCCCTGTGCCCGCTGCCATGTCACACTGTTTAGATGGGGTTCGAGAGAGTCCATCCTCTTGCCACATGACATGAGGCGGTGGGGACACGAGGACCTGTCCCAGGAGCACAGGAGCGAGGGGCCTTAGGAAGGCTGGAGTCCCTGTGTGTTGCCATGGCTGTGCTGGGCGCTGTCGACGGCAGCACCAGGGCCTGTGGGGCACGTTCCAGCCTAACAGGAGAGTGTCCTGACTATTGGACCAGGTAACGGATGGGGTAGGTGGCTTCAGCAGGCAGGAAGTTGAACTTTCTCAAAGATTTTGGAACGAAAAGAATATCTGATTCCGGGGGTGCCAGGTGTCCTCAGAGGCTGGATTTGTTTGTTAGTGAGGAAGGAACAGAGAGAGCAGAATCTTCCATAACTTCTGAATTCATTGGCCCAGTAAAGATGGGTTGCATTAACTGACCATCTGCTCTTGAGCCTGTAGCCACTAATAGGACACGAGTGCATGACCCAGCCGGAGAGAGGGACACACAGTCCCAGATGCAGCGGAGCATCTGGGATCTGGGTTCTGACAGAGTGCAATGAGGGCTGCAGAGGTGGGGATGGGGCACAGGCTGGGACTGGTCACGGGAAGCAGGGCTAGGAACGGAGCTCGCTAAGGAGATGGAGGAAGCAGCTGCCCTTAGGTAGCAGGGGGCAGTGGTGGCTCAGGTGTCACCCCTGGGTGGCAGGTTCCCGTGGGGGGCCTGGTGAGGCAGGGAGCACTGCGGTGGCTTCTTTTCTCCTCCTGTCAGGCACTCTGATGTCTCACTGCTCCGTGACCTTTAAGTCAGGCAGGGAACAGGAAAGAGGACTAAGAATTGAGAACACCAGCCCACACATCTTGTGTGCTCAGTGCCTTCTTGAAGGTGGAGAGAAAGCAGAATTAGGCAATAACTCTAATTTCCTAGAGGAGGGAGAGAAAGGATGAAAGCTGAATAGTGAAGCGCTCGTTACAAGGGTGTGGCATTCAGTGTCCTTACTGCGCATGGTCATTGTTCTCATTTTTTAAAAGATTTATTTATTTATTTATTTGACAGCATGCGCAGAAGCAGGGGGAGCGGCAGGCAGAAGGAGAAGCAGGCTCCCCACTGAGCAGGGAGCCTGATGCAGGACACTGCAGCTCAGGTCATGACCTGAGCTGAAGGCAGACACTTAACCAACTGAGTGTCTCAGGTGTCCTGATTATTGTCATTTTTGATATGAGAAGGCTGTGTAGTGTATAAGAAATAGTACTTATGATTATGGTCCACATTTTAATGTAGCATTCTGATTAACCATGTACGTTTGCCCATAATTGAGTAGGGTAGATAATAGTTGAAGATTCTCCTACTGTAGGAAGTATTTTAACGTAGAGTTAGGGGAAGTGCTAAATTGCTTCCCAGAAAAATCAAGATGTAATTCCAGCTTCTCAAAGAAGGAAGAAATCCGTATGTTTAACTATAAGCCAAGCCCTGTAGCAGGTCTGAGGCCCTGAGGATTGCCTCTGATTTTGGCATTATAGCTTTTAAAGGGGAAGAATAAGAAATCCTACCCTCTTAGGATAAAATTTTGTGAAGTTCTGGTGGTTTATCCTGGAGTCATGGAGAGGACTCAAAAGTCTCCCTAAGCAAGTGGAAGCTTGAATAAGAACAGTATTTTTCTGAAGATAGCCTTTTTACAACGGAGCTGTTATCTTTTATCGTTCCTCAGCAGGGCATGCTCAGCAGTGGAAAGACTGCAGTGTAGACATTCACCTGTCTTCCTGAGGGTAGTGGTGGGGAAAACCCACAGCCACCGACAAGTACATCTAGGGATTATTACCACCCTTTTTTTAATGTAGTAAAGGAATGATTGGTAATGAAGGTGGCCTCCCAAAGAAAAGGAGCAACCAAAGGGGAGCAAATTCCTGAATTGGGAGAAATGTGAAGGATTCCAAAGCACCGTGGCAGTCAGGGCACCGTGATCCCTCTTATATGACCAGCCCCTGATTCTCCTATCATTCACTGTTCTTCATGGCTGTGAATGACAACTCCAGACATGCAGCTGTGGGTCAGGAGCCGGCTGACCCAGATTCTTGGCTTAGGGTTTCACAAGGAAGGCTGCAGTCAGGATGTTGGCCAGGACTGGATTGTAATCAGAAGGCTGGATGGGGGAGAATCCACTTCCAAGCTCCCTGAGATTTTGGGCAGGATTCATTTTCTTACAGCTGTAGGATTCCTGGCAGCTTGGTTCTTTAAAGCCAGCAATGGTCGGAGAGACTCTCTTAAGATGGGTGCTACACTCGTGGGATGCCTGGGTGGTGTAGTCAGTTAAGCTCCTGACCCTTGGTTTTAGTTCAGGTCACAATCTCAGGGTTGTGGGATTGAGTCCCATGTCAGTCTGTGCACTTGGCACAGAGTCTGCTGGAGATTCTCTCTTCCTCTCCCTCTGCCCCTCCCGCTCAGGCGCTTTTGTGCGCTCTCTCTCTGAAATAAATAGGTCTTAAAAAAAAAAAAAAAGATGGGTGCTACACTCTTAAGTAATGCATCCAATCACCTTTGCCACGTTCCGCTGGTTGGAAGCAAGTCAGGTCCTGCCCGTGCTCCAGGAGGGAGGGCCTTACAGCGGGTGGGGACCATGCTGGGGGAGGTCATCATAAAGTCCGTGTGCCACACCCACCAGATGCTAAGCAGCGGATAGGAGGGGTGAGTACGACGTCATCCTTGCCTCGGAGAGACTGTGGGGACTCGAACACACGTCGGTCCGGCACGTGGGCTTGGTGCTGTTACAGTGTGTTACAGAGGCGCGAACTAGCGGGGCCCATGTCCTAAAGCCCTAGTGAGTGGTTATGAGGCAGAATGGAAGATTGAACTCGAACATTGTTATAGTCAAAGGTAAAGCAATTTTGCCAGGAACCAGTTGTCACGAGGATACTTGTTTGGCCTTCCCCAAAGATTGTCACAGTATCTAAACTTTATCTTAAAAAGTAAACAAAAAATTAAGTAGGTGGATTAACACAGCCTGTACTGTAGCCGGCAGTAAGTAAGTCCTGTTTCATTGTTCAGTTTGTTAACTTTCTGAAACTGAGCACACTGTATAACCAGTTCCCAGGTCAAAAGACAGCAGCACCGGGCGCCTGGCTGGCTCAGTTGGTAGAGCACGAGACCCTTGACCTCAGGGTTGTGAGTTCAGGCCCCACGTTGGGTGTGGAGCCTTTATTTTTTAATTTTTTTAAAGATTTTATTTATTTATTTGAGAGAGAGAGAGAGACACGGCAAGAGAGGGAACACAAGCAGGGGGAGTGGGAGAGGGAGAAGCAGGCTCCTCGCTGAGCAGGGAGCTGGATGCGGGGCTTGCGACCCGAGCCGAAGGCAGACGCTTAACGACTGAGCCACCCAGGCGCCCCTGGAGCCTACTTTAAAACAAACAGAACACCCCAGCAGCACCTCAGGACCCCCGGTACCCCTTTCAGGCACTTACCCCATCCCAGAGGTGACCACTGTCCTGTCTTCTACAGCAAACATTGGTTTTACCTCTTTTGTCCTTTTTTTGAGTGGAACAATACAGTGTGTTCTTTCCCATGTGGTTTCTTTGACTCAGCATCATATTTGTGAGATCCACCCAGATGTTAACCCCTGGTACTGGAGTATATGCTCTGGTTCCGGGACCCTAGTCCATTGTGTGGGGTTCCTCACTTGGCCCGCTCAGGTGTTGCTGGCTCTTTCTGACCTGGGCCTTTAGGAACAGTGCTGCTTTCAGAGTTTTAGTGACCATCCTTGTGTCTCTGCTGGCATGCAGCTAGGGGTCGGGTATGCGCGCGCCCAGCTTTTCTGGGGGTTTCCACACGGTTTTCCAAAGTGACACTGTGTCGAGATCTGGAATGGTGACTGTCTTTCCGTCTCTTTCGCCCCTAGGGTTACAGAACTGGCTACCCTTACCGATACCCTGCTCTGAGAGAGAAATCTAAAAAACACAGCGATGTGGAGGCTCCTGCCAATGTCACAGGTTACTCCTTCGCTGGTGACGGGGACCCGGGCACTTGCTCCCCTCTCAGACACAGTGTTCAGAAGCAGCAGCGGGAGAAGACAAGATGGCTGAGCTCTGGCCGGGGTGACGATGCTTCTGAGGAGGGGCAGAATGGAAGCAGCCCCAAGTCGAAGACTAAGGTGTGGACGAACGTTACACACGATCGCGTGAAACCCTTGCTGCAGTCTCTCTCGTCCGGTGTCTGCGTGCCAAGCTGTATTACCAACTGCTTGGTCTGTGCCTACCTTACTGTTCATAGTTAGATGACGTAGAGCAAGTTGGGTAGCTGGGGCTTCGGAGGCTTTGGGAATCCAGCCCCCCTGACCCGGATTGAAAGCAAACCTTCCTCATTAACCTTCTTTAGCCTGAACCTGAATCTGCTTTATGCATCAGCTGTAATTCAAGTAAATCTGTCTGCTTGAAACTGCTTAAGATCTGTTGTATGTCTTCAGTAACTCCAGCATCGCCTAACTCTGCAGAGACACGTGTGTTAACCCATAAGTCGGAGCTGCCATTTAATTCAAATTGTATTTAAGGAATCGTAAAATTTCTCGAGCTGTGATCCTAGTGTTGTAATCTCCAGCGGTTTCTCGAAGTCACTGCAGTCTGTGCTTTCAAGTCTTCCATGTTTTCTTAAGCAGTTTTCCCTCTGTCTCACGGGTATTTTCTCAGCTGACCTCGTCCTTTCTCGTTAGCCTCTTGCCCTGTTTGCTGTCCCAAAGCCTCCGAATGCTCTCAGCCAGCTACCTTGTGCATGGACTGTTGCATGTGAGTAGACGGCCATAGTGGTGAGTCTCGTGACTCCTGCTGGGTGTGGCATGACCCAAGTGCAGCGCAGGCCATCTGCAGGCACCCGCGACAGACCCTGCGGGTGTGCTTTGTGCCAGGAGCGACAAGCACTTCCCTGAGAGATACTTGCTGTCCCGGTGCTCACGCCCTGTGGGGACCGGTCTTCACTCTGCTGCCCCCCTCCCCCCCAGCCGGCCACGGACAGTCCAGCGGCTCCTGAGCCACAGACTAGGGAGGCCCCCGCGCGGGGTCTCGTGAAAAGCCGGGGGCTGGGGCAGACTCCTCTCTGCATGACTCGTTCTGTAGGAGTCCACGTGACGTTAGGTCAGAGGGCCTAAAACAGTGGGCCCCAAGTAAGCAGGCGGGGCCTCCTGTTCCCCTAATAACAGTGTTTTTACTTTATAGATTTATTCCAAAGAACACAGCTCTGTCTTCCCCAGGTGGCTCTGGTGAGAGAGCCTCTGAGCTCCTGAGCAGATGGGTCACGTGGGCAGAGACTCCGCGTGAACGTGGCGCGGCTCAGCGTTCGAGCCCGTCTCTCCTCTCTCCTTCGCCCTCCCTCTCTCCCTCTCCCTCGTTTTGTTTTTCTTTTCCAGTTTCATTTGATTCGTTTTTATTTATTTTACTTTGTTAAGGGGAGTAGGCCTAAAAACCAACTTTCCACTGCTGATATAAATATATAGCGCTGAGCGGCTGTCATGAGGTTTTCCAAAGCACCCGTGTGGGGGCAGCTGTGAGCTTGGCTTGCTGTTGGCTTGAAAAGACGTGCACTCCCGTGAGGTGGCGCCGTCAGTGTACGTGCGCGGGGACGGGGACGGGGCGACCTCGCTCGGCGGTGAGGTGGGGGTCTTCACCGTTGCGGAGTAGTGCCCCCTCCGGGCGGTGCTCCCAGGTTGGTATGTGAACTCACAGTCACTGTTCTTAAGTTTCAGACGTGTTCAAGCTTCTGAGCTTATTGGGTTAATGTTTTGACTAAAACCTATTTTTAATAAAAAGCTGGAGTTATTTTTATCTGAGAAGATAACCATCAGTGAGTACCTCACAGCTCCTGCCCATCCCCCACTCCCCTTCACGGCGGCTACGCGTTTGCCAGTTGTGTTGCTTTCTTTAAAGCCTTACGGTTTATGGCTCCCTGACTGCCTCCTGAAAGTAGTCTGAAAGGCATAACGTTGCTGGCCTTGTTCTACTGTTCAGCGCCCACCCCTGCCGAAGAATTAGAATCGGATGAAAATCCTCGTATTGGTTGGAGATCCAAAAAACCCGCATGTGAGAGGCACGGTGTGCCGATGCTACACGCACTGGTGACTAAAACAGCCTTCTAACAGGAGCTCATGAAGCGCTTCACGTTTGTTTGGGATATTTTTTAACACTCTGAAGTATTAAGTTATATAAAATAGTCGACATCACCAAACTCTCCACGGGGCGGCCGCCGTGCACGCGTCTGCACGGTGATATTCTGGGGTTGAACGAGCTATGTCGGCAGCACATTCTAGTGCTGTGGTTTATTTCCGGGCCAAACTTTGGTGATGCCCACTCCTGCCTCACGGTGCGGTCCTTCCCTTCACCTGGGTGGCGACATCACATCGCTTTTCATGACCCTGCCATCTCATGCTTCCAGCGGCTTTGGCGTTGATGACTCTCAGGGCGGTGAACCAATGTGCTCTGAAGGGCACGGGAGTCACGGAGCAGAGCTCGGTCGTCAGCCTGTGCCGTGCCCGAGTGTTCCGCGGGGCGTTCTGGAGCGCGTGTGCCAGTCAGTTACGACTTGGGTTCCTATTTGCACATGCCCTGCCCCGATCCCCCTGCTGCGGTGACAGGAGGTGTGGTCATTGGTTCATTCTCTGTGATGTTCATGCATGACCAGGTGTGAGACACAGTGGACAGATTGGATGCTGTGGTGTCACATACTGTTGTCCCCATTCTGACTTTTCAACTGTTCTTGATATTTGCAGTGGACTAAAGAGGATGGACATAGAACCTCCACCTCTGCTGTCCCTAACCTGTTTGTTCCATTGAACACTAACCCAAAAGAGGTCCAGGAGATGAGGAACAAGGTGCGTATCAGCGGCCATCAGCCCCCCATGGAAACTGTTGCGGGCGGAGGCGGCGACGGGTGGGACGGTGCGGAGCGCACGTGGCCGGCGGAGGGCTTCTGCCACCACCGCTCTTGTAGCCGAGGTCACGTCTTTCCACCGCTTCCGCTGTCGCGCTAACAAGTGTGCTGTGTGAGCCGCAGACGTCCGGGGCACCTTGGTTCTCGAACTGACGCTTGCTCACAGAGCCGGGCAGAACTGGAAGCTGGAGAGCCTGTTCCCGGCGAGAACAGCCTTTGCCCCTGCACTTCAGCGTCCGTTCGCTGAACTGTGAACGTTTGCTGTGTCAGAACGTGGGCTCCCCCCGTGTTCACAGTGTCACTGTACGACGGGCACATGGGGGATAGTCCCCTCCACTTAACGAGTGTGGTGAGAGATGCGTGCTTACCACAGCCCTCTAGAAGGTGCAGAAAGCCAGGAATGGCTCCGCCCACCCCCTTAGACAAGCTGGGCTGGCCCTGTCAGGCAGGCACTGTGGCCATGCGGGGCCGTGAGGGGCGTGGCAGAGCAGAAGTGTGGCTTGGGTGGGGCTTTGGGGCCCCACATGCACAGAGTGACCCCAAGTCACAGCCGGCCTTCTCTGTACTGTTGATGTGTGTTTCTCCTTCTTGTGTCCTCAGATCCGGGAGCAGAACTTACAGGACATTAAGACGGCTGGCCCCCAGTCCCAGGTTTTGTGTGGTGTAATGATGGACAGGAGCCTCGTCCAGGTGAGAGCTCAGAATGTCTGGTGTTAGTGGGTAGTGGCTCTAATGACTGTCCACTTCAGAATTAGTCTTGGGAGAGAATGACTCTGTGAGGTAAGTGTTCTAGGCAACCAGTTATCTCTGTGAAAAATCCTCACGATAAGAAATAACCCTGCCACTTTTCCTGAAGTTGTAGATTTAGCATAAGCATGCCTGAGGGCCGTGTCCCCCCCCCCCCCCCCCCCCCCACCCCTGCTCCATGTGATGCATGCCTGTGTGACGGCGGCACACACGCTGCCTGCTTGGGGACCAGGATGTGCCCTGGTTTTAGCAGTATACTGGGGAAAACGCTAGAAGAGAGTGGGTTTAATGGACTTTTTGTTCTTGGGTATATTGCTGTCTGCAGTAAAGGGCTGCTTGGGGTAAAGTGCTTACAGAGGGTACCTGTAAATGTGGTCTCCACATTTACACGCTTTTCTGGAAAAGGACTACTTTGTGGCACATGGAAGATAATCGTGTAAGTAGTTATCTCTGAAGATGAAGTTGCCACCTAATGCTTTAAACACGACAGCAGGGTAGGTGACCGTTTTCCGAATTGGGCCAGCCGTGGCCCTGCTTGCGTGGTCTGTGCTCCCACGTGGCCCCGCCATCACCGCTGCTTTCACGTGGCCGGCTGTCTCTGCTGCATGCCCTCGGCTGGCTCCGTCCTGTGCTCTCTGTTGATGTTTCAAAGCTGGGCCTGGTGGGCTCTGATGACTCAGTTTACTGTTGCAGGACGCACCCCTCTCTGACTGTACGGAAACAATCGAAGGGCTCGAGCTTACAGAGCAGACCTTTAGTCCTGCTAGATCTCTGTCTTTTAGAAAGGTACTCACTGCCCTGTCCTCAGCTACCTCTCAGCACGCGCTGCTCTTCACCTGCCCCTTCCCTCACTGCTCTCGCTGGGCACCGTCTTAGTTACCGAAGTAGCTTTAAACCTGTCTCTGAGTTATCTGTGGGATTGTGCAGAGGTTCTGTTCTGCCTGTTCTTTCATGAAGACATTTGGTATGAGGCTATTTTCACAACTGTCGTTATTCCACGAGGCTGCGGAGAGCGGGCCCATCTTAACGACGTGGCGCATTTCCGAAGTTCTGCACATGACTTTGGTTGGTGCATGCTTTTGGGTGTTATTTGCCTTTTACCAGATGCCGCTTGCCAAAGGCTCATGTGGGCAGACCGTGGGCAGCGGTGGCTCTCTTGTGCAGTCTCCTGCCTGTGCTCGCTCAGCTGTGACCACATGTGCCGTGGACTTGGCAGCTGGAGGGTGTATGATTGAAAGACATCATTTCAAGAGGAAGGGGAAATCAATCAGACCGTTTTTTATTGTTGCTGAAATATATTCCGTTTTTCCCTCAAAAAATACTGGATAATTTTTTCAAAGTGTTTCACGGGGGAAAAAGGCATGCAAATTTGAAGCCCAGGGTTGTCATCTGTGTACATGCATACCTGACGTGGTGGAAGGAGACCTTCCGTGAGCGTTCAGGCTGCACTCCTTGGGGCCAAGGGTGGACCGCAGCTGCCTGCACGTTTCGAGTCTTAGTCACATTCACCCTGCATTCAAAGGAAATTTGAGGGGTGTTTCTTTCAATTCATACACCTCCACTAAAAGGCAATTATCATGTTAGCGATGTTCCAGTTGTCAGAAAGAAGCAGATCTGTACCAAAGACTGTATATTCTTGTGTGGAATCCCCACCATGAACTCTATTTTGCATACTTACATATTAATTCCACGAGTCCCGTTTTCCTTATCGTTAGAATGTACTTGCAGCTGCCATTCTTGGAGGAGCTCCTCAGAGCAAAGGAGAAAGATGTACTTGTTTTGCGTCTCAGTCCTTTGGGCTGGAAGCTGTTGTGATCTTGTGAGTTCCTCGTTTTTTTCTCAGATGTGTGAAGGTATGCCAAGTCCACGAGCCCGGGGGCTTCCTGTGCAGAGTCCACCCATGGCTGCCACAGGGGGCTTCCTGTGCGGAGTCCACCCGTGGCTGCCACCCTGTGGCTCCGTGGGCAGAGCTGGTTGGAACAGTCCTTGCTTGCGGTCCCTCTGGTGCGGTATCGCACGTCGCGGTCTCTGCTTGCACCCTGTCAGGGCTTGCTGGAAGGCAGGCTGTATTTGAAAGGGGGCTGTTTCGGCAGGTCCCTCATCTAGCCCCTGTTCTGGGTTTGCTCCAGGAGTGTCAGACTTGGGTGTGTGCCCCGTCACCTGTGTTTCATGAAGTATAGATGCGGGCCCCCCAGGCCAGGAGGTCAGAGTCGGTGGGAACGGGGTTCCGGGTGATCCTGCTGTCCTCCCCACAGTCTGAGCACCAAGCTCTGTGAGTGGTGCGTCTGGGTGGGAGTTAGCCCAGGAAAGTGTGTCCAGCCCAGCTGAGATGCTGGTGTCCCTGTACCTGGATTCTTGATCCAGCTTGTGTTTTCTTCACCACCCTCCTTCTGGTGCTCACATTTGCACTCTTGGTCTTTTTTCCACCAACTAAGCTTATTTCATTTCTATGTCGAGAACATGATTCCACCCGTGCCCTTGACCAAGGGTGCCCTCACGGCTTTTGGGTGGGGCTCGAAACGCAGACTGCGTTGCTCCTTCTACAAGGTGGGCGCTGCTGGCTGGCAATGTCAGTTTCTCTTTGAACCAATGAAAAGGACTTTGTTAAATGTCCTAAAAATGTCCTCTTTCCAGTGAGGCAGGTGTGTAGACAATTTTTCCATTTGAGAATCTGAGGAATGTGTGTTTGGGACCTAGGAAGTTGGAGCTTTTGGGAAGGACTTTCCTTTGCTTCCATCTCTCCCTCCCTGGTGATGGCCGTTCACTCAGAGCATGTTATCTTCTGACAGAAGAAGGAGCGGCGAGCTGTCAGCCACACCCCAATGCTCTGGTTCCAAAAGGAATCCTGAGCTCTGCCGAAGGCTCTCTTGGCTCCAGCACTGTGCCTGCCAGCATGTAACTTGGGGCAATCTGGCGCCTTCTGGACTTCATTACCAGTGAATCGAGCTGTTAGACGTCAGGGCGGACAAGTTTATGCTGAAGGTGGCCCAGCGCAGCCGAGAACTGTGCTGCTGGGTCTGGACACCGTGAGCCCCTGTTCTCTGTGCACCTCTGTGCACATGGGCTGTGGCCCTCCCACACTTGTTGCTGCATGGTAGAAACGTGAGGGGCCTGGGCCCACCTTGCACACTTCCATGGTGCATTTGTTGTTGAGCACCCAGAAGTGTGTGGCCCGGCACTGAGAACGTAAATTCAAATCTGAGTGGGGTTTATGGATGAAAGCCTGATGCTCGGAGAGATCGGGTCGCTAGCCATGTTTTTGCATGGCTCGCCAGCTACCTCAGCCAAGTGCAGAAGCAGTTCCTGGGCATCTGGTTTGCTTGGAGCCCCTGCTCTGTGGCTAGAAGTGAGGGAAGCTGCAAGAGCCTCCCCGTGGCCTGCTGGCGAGAGCAGCCACGTCACATCCTGGTTTCTCAGCCCAGGCTGCTCCGCAGGAGACCTGTTTCCCTCTGCATCCCAGGCCTTGCTCCTTTTCCTTCCCCCCAGATAACAGGCTCCCTCTGTCCCCCCAGTCTGTTCAGAGCCCGGGTCTTGGCAACTGCTTGCCATTGAGAATTTGGAGGAGGGCGGCAACCCCACTGCGCCTTGAGGGTCAGGTGTCTCAGGGTGGGAAGGGCCTTGCTGGTCCACGGGTGCCTCTGTGGCAGGTGATTCTTGATATTTTATTCGTCCCTTGATTTGAACTTTGGATTTAAGGGAATTGAAACATTTCTCTCAAACCTCATGTCACCTCATTTTCTCGGCAGTGATACCAGGATGCAAATGCAACTGGCCACGTTGCCATAGATTTAGGGAAACATGCAGCTGGGCCTCAGCTGTTGTTGGCCCAGCAGGCTCCTCTCAAGGAGGCAAAACCCGGGCCCATGCACAGGAATAGGCGTCAACGAGTAGTGAGTGGCAGGCAGGGATTCAGTCCCCTGCCCTGGGGAGACAGGGCTGCTTCTGAGCGAAAGGCCACTTGACCTTGGGTCAGCATTGGTCAGAAAGAGGCCCCCGCCTTGACCATCCAGGTCGTCTTGAACCTTGAGGCTCTCTGAGCAAAGGTGGCCAATTCCAGCAGGTCCTTTGCTTTTCTTCCCTGGCTCTGCATCCCTGATTGGTCATGGAGTGCTCTGGACTCTCCATACCCAGCTTGCTGGACAGCAGCCCCTCAGCCCAGGTTCCCCAGCCTTTGCCAGGGCAACAGGTGGCCCAGGTGAGCTGAATTTCCCCAGCACTCAGTCTGGCTCCGTCTCTCGTGCACATTGCTTGGGCACGGTCTCTCTCTGGTGTTCGCCCCTTACTCAGGAGAGTATGGACAGACCAGGCCTAGCATCAGAATTTTTGATTCTCCTATCATGGGTGGTTTTTGGAAGCTCCCATTAAGTAATGGGCATGTGCGTGTGTTCTGGTTAACTTTCCCAGAAAATGAACCCAGGGCATTTGGGGGCCAACCACGCTGGGCAGTGGGGCACAGAGCTGTGCTGGGGCAGGTGAGTGTAGGCTGGACATCACTTCACACACCCCAGAGCTGCCTCCCCCCGCCGGCTCCCTCCCTCCAGGCCTGCCTCCCCACCCCAGTGATCCCCTGGCATGGGGCTGCCTCCCTTTACAGACTGGGTGCTGACTGCCATCCACCTTTGTGCTCTGCTTGCTTGCTTTTCTCTTTCTTTCCTACACGTTCTTGGTTTTCCAAATTCCTCAGACAAATACTGGTATTTTGGGACTTAAAAAAATTTCTCAGTGTTTTGGGATAAGTTCCAGGAGCTAGTTATAAACTAAACAGCTAGTTAAAAGAACAGAACTTAATCTGTGAACTTAGAAAGTAAGCAAATCTCCGAGCATACTTTCCCTGATTTGGAATCCTGGATGTTTTCTGATGTTGTGACAAGGGCAGTTGACTTAAAGAGTTGGCGCTTCCACCCCTGCCAGGAAGGAGACCGCGTTCTCCCTGAGGTGCTCTGTGCCCTCCGTGCACCTGAAACCTGAAGGACTTTCCTAGGATTTTTTTCTCCTGTTACATTTGTTTTGTAGCTTCAAAATTTTGTTTCTCTGTCTCCAAACACTGGAGGCTGCAGCTCAGCCTCAACCTCAGGGCCCAGGGTGAGGCTCAGGCCAAGTCTCAGGGTTGTCCGTGCACTCCGGGGAAATCCGCCCACCCCGCCCTGCCTGCAGCCTTGCCCGGGAGGGGGGAGAGTCCCTGCTGGCGGGGCTCCCGCAGACTGGGCCTCCCTTTTTGTCTGCAGGGGGAGCTGGTGACAGCCTCCAAGGCCATCATTGAGAAGGAGTACCAGCCCCATGTCATTGTGAGCACCACAGGCCCCAACCCCTTCAACACGCTCACCGACAGAGAGCTGGAGGAGTACCGCCGGGAGGTGGAGCGGAAGCAGAAGGGCCCCGAAGGTGAGTGTGCGCGGGTCCTGGGCACGTTGGCAAGCTCAGCATGGGGGGTGCCTGAAGCGAGAGAAGGTGCGCTGCGAGCTCCTTTGTGCCCAAGTGGTGACTGGGGGTGATGAGGACAGTCACTTGTATGAAAGATCAGCCTTCTGTTTGGTTAAGACCTGAATGTTCTTCCGTGCACATTTCCTAGTTCCAGAGGATTAGAAGGGAAAAAACACTTGTGAACGGTCGGCTTGGGAGGCACCTGCAGGCCGGCTATGTGGGAGACTGTGTCCGAGAGCCGGGCTGCTGTCTTTCCGCACAAACGCTGAGGGTCTTCCTGGGCAGGCCGTGATTGCAGGCCCGTGTGGCAGCGTGTCGACCGCTCTGGCGTCCCGAGTGAGGAGTGGCCGCGTGTGGGTGCAGCCTGTGCCTCTTGGTAACCGACTCACTGACCCAGGAGGTCATACTTTTGTAAAACACAATGGGACGATTTTCCAACAATGAGAATCAGTGACTAAGAGCCAGAACCTCACGGAGGAGGTGGTTTCAAACTCTAGGTTTTGTGAAAAGTAGGTCCAAGAATTTTGAGAACTAACACGAGAAGCCAGCCTCCCCCTGCTTCTGCCGTGAAGGCGCACTCTCCCTGAGCACCCTTGGTTATTTACCAGGAACGCCCTGGGCACAGACACCCCCCCAACCAGGAGGCTCATGCTGTGTCCTTCGGTCCTGGTCTTTGTACCGAAGCCTCCGATCCTAGGCAGGGACCACACGTCTTCCCCAGCTTGCTCCCCAGGAATCAGCCTTTGGAGTGTTAGTCCCACAGTGTTCCATAGCCTTGGGGCTGTGGAGGATCGTGCAGGGAATTATGTATTGCTCCTCATATAACCTCTGATTTGCCCCAATTTAGGTATTTCTTGGCCTTGTTTTAGACCAACTAACGCATTATGTAGATGCTGTTGAAATATGAGTTGTACCGAAAACTATTGCTGACTTGTTTTCAGTGAGCGTTCCAGCATCACTGCTCGTCACTTTCTGTGAGCTGTGCATTAGGATTAAGACCTTGCACACATCGAATCAGAGTGAGCCCGGTGTTTCTGTCACACCGAGCTCTGCTTCTCATCGTCTCCCTTGAATGGTGTGCGCAGCCCCACAGAGAGCTTTGCGCTGTCGCCGTAAGTCCCTGCCTCGGGGTGGCCTGTGGGCCCGAGCTCTTGGCCCTGAGGGCGAATCCCGGTTCCAGAGCACACACACGTGTGTGTCTGCCCTTTGGGTCCTCCCAGTGTCTGGGGAATCTGGATTACAGGAAAATGGTTTTTGAGTCAGAGCACAAGACACGCAGGTGTCTCCCTCCTCGTGAGGCTCCATGAGGAGGGATGTTTCAGCCGTTGAGTGGATGGGGCAATTGTGACCATGCTCTGTGATCACTGGGCTGTCCGCAGCGGGAGTGCCAGCCACGGGTGCTGCCAGGAGACCCCTGCCCGGGGCTGGCCGTCGGCATAGGGGATGCTGCATAGCAGCAGTTGCCGCAGGAGGAAGGAAGCAAGCCGTGGGGCTCGGGCACCTTTCGTGGTTGAGGGAGCTTCTGGGAGATGGAAAGGCCTTTGTGCATAGACCTCTGGCTTCAGGAAGGTAGGTTGGTATCTCTAGGAGATCAGAGGCCTTGCCAGTTATAGCTATTTGTTCAAAATATGAGACCTAGTGATACCAAGCTGTTAATATAAAAAGTTTAAATGAGAGAAGGAGAGTTAAGGAATTAGGATTAACATTGGTATGCATATTTCCCTAAATGAGAAATAGACTTGGAATTTTCTGGATCCTGGCTCCTAGTACCTGCGGTTTTTTCTCTGATCCTTATCAGCATATTTTATTTCAGAAAATAAAAATATTATAATTGTCAGGTTTAAACTATTGGTAGAAAACATTCTGCGTAAAACAATGAAAACCAGTGCAGTGCTCATGTGACATCCTTGAGGTGGCGACTAGGGTGAGGGTGCCTGGGACCCTGGGCTGCTGGCTCAGCCGTCGGGGGGGCTCCTCACTGGAACACAGGTGGGGACACCCCGGGGGTCACCAGTCACCGTGTGTCACAGTGTTGGCTCTGGCAGATTCTCTCTGGAATAAGAATGGAAATCAATTTTGTATCCAGAGTTGGTTGAATCTTTGAGATTTATATCCACACCAGTCACAATCGGCCTTCTTTGTCCCCTTGGAGAGATGAAGACAACGTGGCCATGAGCCCTCCTGGTCTCTTGGATGTACCCGAGAAAGAGAAGCTTCAGCCGTCCCCCTCAAGGCAGCCGGATGGACAGGGCAGGAGGGCCTGCCTGCCTTTGAGGAGGGTGAAGGCTCACGATGTCTGAAGCTCTTTACTGTGTGCTTCTCACTTTCTGTCCGTCTGCAGAGAATCTGGACGAGACCAGAGAACAGAAAGAAAAGAGTCCTCCAGAGCCCCCTGCTGCCCCCCACACCCCCCCCAGCACCCCTGTCAAGCTTGAGGAAGGTGAGCTCTGGGGTGGACGTGAGCGTGTGGCTGCCCCGCTGTGGGAGGGTGCGTGGCCTTCTGTGGTCCGGTGTCCACCATGAGAGGTGGATTTTGTGTCCTGTCGAGTGGAGGGAGAGCACCGGTGTCAGTGGCTGAACGGACAGTGGTGAAGGAGCGAGCATGTGCGTGGAAGCCAGCACGACACGTGGTTCTGAACTGGCCCACCTTCCTTGCTCCTGTTTTGGTTCTGTCCTGGGTCCCTGGGTCCCTCGAGGCAGCAGATTTGGTAGTGAGACATCAGGTTGGGGGATCGGATCCCACCTTCGTTTATGATGTCAGTTTTGCCTACTGCTTATGCATTTCTCAAACCTTCCTGTGTCCAGACCACCCCTTTGGAGACGTCTTCTGTTGTGTCTGGGCTGCAGGACCTCGTGTGACCTGCCGTAGTAGTCAGTCCATGCAGAGTGCTGGCCTCCACCGGCCTCCCGGACCACCCACTGCGTGTCTGTCCCTTGGTCCTACATGTCGTGCTTCCCGTGCCTGTGGGGAGCCTGTGGCTCGCCTTCCTCCCCCCGTTTGTCCCCAAGAATGGCTCAGCCATTCTCCTTCTATAACCCAGTGGCTGTGACTGAATGCCTAGATTCTCTCCCTGTGCTTTTCTCTTCCTGTGGCTGCGTTACAAACAGGAGCTGGATGTGCTAAAGAGTACCTGTTACCATAGTAAGTACCGCCCGCGTCTGGCCCTCTGCCGCTTAACCAGTGGTCCCTGTGCTTTGCCTCATTCTCCTGCTTCTTTGTTGCTTACTGAGTTCTGTTCTCTGTTTATTCAAAATAAAAATAGAGTCCCCCCTCCCCCCGCTCCGCTTTTTTTGTACTCAGTTCCTCCCACCCAGGCAGTGGCATCTTGGCAGGGACTCCGTGGTTGGAGAGCTAGGTGGGGACCCCCGGGGACCGAGGCGGTGCTGCTCAGGGCCCTGTGGGTCTTGGGAGTTCCAGAGCCGTCACGTGGTCCTGCTCAGCTTGTGATTGCTCGGCGGCATCAGACCCACACCAGACTAGGTTCAGGCAGGGGGAGGATTTTGCCTTGTGCTGCATGCCAGTCGCTTCTGTTGGGATCTTGGCTTAAGCTGAGCGCTTAAGCGTAATTGGGGATGGGGCAGGAGACTGGTGCCGTTTTTAATGTGGCATTTGGTCACATGGTAAAGTTCCCCAGAGGCACCCACAGGCCACCTCTGCATGCTCTGCAGGGTGAAGCTAACTTCCTCCTGTCCCCCTGAGTAAGGACATTTAATTGTCCCAGGACTGAAGGTGGCCCAGGGGCCAGCCGGGGCAGCCCCAGCCTCCCAGAGCCGAAGCACTAAGCGTTTGGGGCCCGGAGCCTCCCGCGGCCACACCTCACCCACACTCAGCTCCGAGTCCCCCCTGACGCGGGGCTTGGCTTCTCTGTGCTAAATGGTTTAGTGTTGCCTAAGCAGCAAGTCGCTTGTAACTCTGTAGGATGTTATAAAACTCTACAAAACTGGTTTCCCCCCTGGTCAGAGTCCGCATAGAGATCTGATGATGGGACCTTCCCCAGACACCCACCCTCGGGCTGTGTTCTCTACAGCAAGTTACCTTTTGCCCTTTCATGTTCCCATGTTTGAATGCTGAAGCTGGCCTGGTTTTTGCCCCTGGCCCTTACCTTACAGTTCTTTTCTTTTCTTTCATTCTCCAGCCTACAATGGCTTTATTTTGTTTGATGTTGATAGTGCCCGTGGGGTCTGGGAGTTAACCATGGTTTTCCATGGTTTTCTTTTTGGGGGAGACCAGGTGTTGTGGACCCAGATTTAGGCCTAAATACTACTAATATGTGCCCTTAGGGTTCTAGAACGAACTCCTGTTGGGAGTGTTAAAACGTGGAACATGGTCCTAGTGCAGTGCCGTCAGCTCGCCCAGCTCTCTGACTGGGGCCCGAGGTCCCAGGACCGCGTCTGGGTCTGTCAGCACACTGTCCCCGAGGAGGAGCTGAACCCCCCCCCCCCCACCCCCCCCCCCCCCGCCCCGCGAGGTTGCGTCTCCATTTTGTATCCTGAGCCGCATCCAGCCTTGAAGTAGAGTAGACTTGATTTAAAGTTTCTTGTTTTGGTGTCGGTAAAAGCCCCTAGAGCCCAGCCCCGCGGCCATCTTGGTGCGGGGAGCTGCCTCTCTCGGGGCGCCCCGCTCAGGTCCGGTGGCTGCTCTTCAGCCCTGTCTCTCGTCCCCTGCCCACCAGACCTGCTGCAGGAGCCCACCTCCGGAGAGGACAGTGATGCTGCCACCTTTAAGCCGACTCTCCCCGACCTGTCCCCTGATGAGCCTTCAGAAGCGCTCGGCTTCCCCACACTGGAGGAGGAGGAGGAGGAGGAGGAGGAGGAGGGGGAGGAGGGGCTCGGTGAAGCCCACGAGCCTCCCAGCCCCGCCAGGTCCCCTGTGGCGGCCAGCCCCGAGCCAGCCTCCGCCCAGGTGCTGGAAGAGGCCACCTCCCCAGCTGCCGAGGAGGGGGCTGCCGTGGACCCTGGCAGCGATGGGTCTCCGGGCAAGTCCCCTTCCAAGAAGAAGAAGAAATTCCGCACCCCCTCCTTTCTGAAGAAGAGCAAGAAGAGGAGTGACTCCTGAAGGCCCGTCCCTCACACACCGAAGCCACCAGACCGCCCCCGGTTGCGTCTCGTGTCCTGTCTTCCTGTGTCATGGAATGCAAAAAGCCCATCCCTCCTCATAGCTAAAGCTCCCCTCATGGCGTGACCAAACCCCCACGTAGACCGGTGCTAACCTCGTGTGCGTGTGCAGCGGGCCTCAGCCTCGGGGGCTGGGGGAGACACGTTTCCGCGGCCCCTCTGCATCCGCCCGCCCGGCCTGGACTAGCACGCTGCGGGCGCGCTCTCCCCCGGGGGCGGGCCGTCCTGGTTCTGGCCGGACAGTTGGAGGCCCTGGTGGCTCTGGCCTTGCCCTCCCTCTCCTCCTGTGGTGCAGTCCCCCAGGCTGTGTGTCTGCTAGGCTCCCCTTCACCCCCGCGTCTCCGGTGACTGAATCAGACTTGGCGCTTCCTGCTGGCATTATCTGCTCCGCGATCTCCCTTGGGTTGTAGCTACAGGACCTCAGTCCTGGGCGACTACTCCTGTGCCTGCCGGCGGCCCCGGACACCCTGACGCCCTCTGAGAGCCGGGGACCCAGCAGCAGAGGGCCCTGTGTACGCCCCACGTGCCCTGTGCATGGTCTGATGGCCCTGAGGCCAGAAACGGGGTTCAGAGGCCCCCACTTTCTTACTGGGGTCTCCAGATTCCTGTCACAGAGAAGATACATTAAGAGGGGGAAGAGTCCTTTCTAGAATTTTCCTTCAGCAGGTTTGCAACTCACCCTCCATTTTTGACCATGAACAGGAATAGGCCACTTCTTGCTTTAGTTTTCTCGCTCTGCCTCCGCACAGCACAGTAGAGTGTAGGTCACTGTACGGGAGGGTTTGGAACTGGGAAAGGGTTGCCTCTTTAACTCAGCCTGAAAGATGCCTGGTTTTGGTAAAAGGTAACTCAAGGTAGAAGGGCACCCAGCGGTCCCTCCCTAACTTCTCACACTAGTCCTTTGTGGAGCCAGGCCTGGCTCTCCTTGTGGGACGTCATAAATTTTCATTGAGATTCCTGAAAAATCACGTGCAGCTGCTTAGCAGGAACTAGTGGGGGACCCATTCCAGGGGCTGCCCGGTGCCGGCCTGGCTAGGTGCTGGCTCGCCTCCTCCCCGGAAGGCGGGGAGGGGTTCCTGGTGGACCTGGTGCCAGAGCCGGCCCGGGGTCCCACACTCCTGACCCCAAGCAGGACCTGAGGCTGGCTGCATGGCGCTGACCGCTGCTTCGAGCTTCTGGAGACTTGCTTTCTCCAGCGTATCGTTTTGTTGCCTCAGTGGTGTTCAGGTTCTCTGCCCTCGCCCTGTCCTTCACTTAACCACCGACTCTAGCCCTTCCTTTTGTCCCACATACGCAATGACTTTCATTTCACTTTTGTAGTTTATTTTAATTCTTTGTATCACCACATGAAGTTTAGTCGTATATATGGACACAGGCTTGGGAGGATGGGTCCTGCGTCCTTCACTGTAACATGTTTTACTCACAAATAAAATTCTTTAAGCAGTTTCCTTGTCTAAACTTGGGAAGCAGTTTTACACTTCAATTCCTTTTGTTTGCTCCTTTGATCCCAAAAAGAGATCCCCAAGTTTTTTTTTTTTAAGATTTATTTGAGAGAGACAGTGTGGGCGTGTGGGGGGGAGGGGCAAAGGGAGAGAGAGAATCTCTAGCAGCCTCCGCCCGCCCCCTAGCGCAGAGCCCCACAAAAGGGGCAGATCCTGTGACCCTGAGATCATGGCCGGAGCTGAAATCAGGAGTCGGACGCCCAACTGACGGAGCCCCCCAGGCGCCCCCCAAGTGTTTATTTCTTGATCAAACACTGTTGCTTTGCACTGGGGAGGACCCTTTAAAAGCCACAGGCTGGGGCGGGACGTGTGATGGGGAGAACGTGGCACAGGGGCCTCTCCTCCCTGGTCAGCCAGGGTGCAGGGCACAGCCCCCGGGTATGGCCCAGCATGTGCTGAGTCCAGGCTTGGAGGGCCCTGCGTCCACGTTCTGTCCTCAGCCTTGTGCAGAATGGCAGCCGGCTCGGGAAGAGCCTGGGACGCTTCTGCTCAGTGCAGTTCTAAGAGCCTTCAGCTTAAGTTGCTGCTTCTGGCGCCTGGGGGTGGGGGGTGGCGAGGCATAGCGGTGTACTGGAGAGAGGCACTGGATATAAAATAGCTGCTTTATTTTGTCATTCAGAGGCCTGGCTGACACCGTGTGTCACTGAGAGAGAAGCCAACAGAAAGCCTGGAAGGGTTTGGAGTCACTGCCCCCAGCCTGACAGGGCCGTCCACACCTAGGGAGGGGCCGGGAGTGTCTCGGGGGCCCTCTGGGGCTGCAGGCCGTGGGCCGTCCTGGGCTGGGCCCGGGGGGAGGGTGGGGGGTCCCGGCCCAGGCCTCTTCTACCGCTGCCACCCCCCCCCCCCCCCCCCCTCGGGGCGGGGCTGGCTCGGCTACTCGGCCTTGAGCGCGTGGGCTGGAGGCCTCAGATTCCACAGGAGCAGGAAGGGGAGCAGGAAGAGGCCGGAGCACATGGTGAAGCAGACCCTGGCCCCCGCCAGCCAGTACACTGTGGAGAGAGAGCCTGAGCGGTGGTGCGGGCCCACCCTGTCCCTGCCGCCCCTTGGCCCCAGGATGGCAGCAGCAGTGCGCCCCCTGCTGCAGGCCAGTAGCCCCCAGGCCTGGCCCGGCCGCCCTGGTGCCCTCACCTGAGGCAGCCACCATGGGTCCCACCGCCCTGGCCAGGGCGCCCAGGCTCCGCAGGGTGCCCATGATCGTGCCCTTCTGCCCTGGCGAGCCTTGGGGGGGAGAAGGGGAGGAGGCCATCAGGTGCCTGCAGGCCTCCTCCCACCTGGAGGACCTCCAGCAATGGAAGAGCATCTCACCATAGTTGGCAACCACAGAGGACAGGCAGGGCACCACGACCGCGGCAGCTGGTGGGAGACACCAGGGAGGGCTGTGACCCCGGATTCCTGGCTCCCGGCTCCCTGCCGCGCCCACCCTGGCCCTGGGAGGACCCACTCACCGAAGGAGTACAGCAGCAACCCCAAGCCCAGCACAGGCAGCGTGAGCCCCCAGCCGATGAGGAGGAAGGCGGGCACGAGCAGCAAGATAGCCTGCGGGGGCGGGGGGGGGGCACAGCGGAGCTCAGGACCCACCCCTGCTGTTGCTGGCAGGGCTCAGGACACAGCCTGCCCCCTTTACCCCCCGCTTCCCAGGGGGAGCCCCATACCCGCTTCACAGCTGCAATCTCCCTGCCAGGGCTGATCCTCCGCGCGTAGGCACCCTGCACGGTGGCCATGGTGAGGCCGATGAAGAAAAACATCTTTCCTTGCTGCAGGCTGGGAGCGGGGGAGCTGTGAGTGCCTCGCCCCTGCTCCCCGTGGCCAAGGCAGGGAGCCAGGGTGACAGCTGGTTCTCCACGGTCCGCCGTGCCAGGGTGGGAGTCAGCCCTGAACCCTGGGCGGGGGGGCGGTCAGGCCAGGTTCTGCAAGGGGCCTACCTGCTGAACTGGAAGCGCTGGTGGGCAAGGAAGCTCAGGGTGTACTCCAGGCCCGAGAACAGGAAGAGGTAGAGGAAATACACCAGGCCCAGGCGGCGAAGGCTCCCAAGTCCTGGGGAGCAGTGGGGAAGGGGCTGACAATAGCTGGGGAAGGCCTGGGCAGCTGGAGGAAGCCACGGTCCCACCCTCAAGAGGGGAGTGGCTCCTTACTGTCTCCAGCAGGTGGATCCTGGCTGCGGGCCACGGCCGAGAAACGGAGCAGGGCCAGGGGGCTGAGCAGATCCACAGCGGCTCGAAACCCCGGGGTGATGGAGGGTGCCTGGGGCGGGGGCAGGACTGGAGGGGCCTGCCAGGCGGCTCAGGAGGGGCATGACCTGAACCTGCCCTGGCCTCCAGTCCCCCTGCCAGGCCCTAGAGGCCGGGGCACCAGGAGAGGACAGTCCAGCCTCCCCTGGCATCCCCGCATGCCCACAGAACTGAGCTCCCAGCCCCAGGACCTCTCATTGGTTTCTTCCCGGGTGCCCCCCTTACCCGCTTCTCTGGGGGCAGGGTCTCCAGCAGGAAGCAGAAAATAAACAGCAGGTCGGAGGCAGCGAAGAGCAGGGCGAGCCAGGGTACCGTCTCCGCGGGCAGGGAGGCACCCAGCATGGGGCCCAGGGTGAAGCCCAGGGAGAAGGCCACCCCGATGACTGCCTGGGGAGAAGACCGCCTGAGCCAGGCAGGAAGACCCCAGCCAAGGAATCCGCAGCCACTCATCCCCCATTGCCCACACGCACCATGCCTCGGCCGCGGGCGGAAGGTGAGCCCAGGTCAGCTATGATGGCGGTGGAGAGGCTGACGTTCCCCTTGCTGATGCCCCCAATCACCCTGGAGGCCAGGAAGGCTGCGAAGCTCCTCGAAGCAGCCCACACAGCGTACGAGGTGGCCAGACCTGCCTGCCTCAGGGTGGGGTCCACAGGGCAGGTATGGTCACCTGAGGCCACGTGGGGCCCAGAGTTGGGCCGACAAACCCAGGTAACACCCTTGGGGCCTGGCCCTGTTCTGGAGCATCAAGGTCTACTTGTGTTCCCGATGTCCGCAGAGGTGGCAGGGGCAGCTCTGGGAAAGCCTGGCTGGGCCACGGGAGCCACCACCCCCTCAAGCACCCCACCCCGGGGACAATGAGGGGCTCACAGCCAACCCCCTTTCCCCCCAGAGGACTGCCGGGCGGGCGAGAGGAAGCCGCACATTCCCTCGCCTCGGGAGCCCCGTACCAGGGACAGCAGCATCACCGGGCGCCTCCCCAGACAGTCCGAGGCCGCCCCCGTGAGCGGTGCCAAGAGGAACTGCAGGAAGGAGAAGACCGAGCCAATCAGACCTGGAGGAGACAGAGGTTTGGGTCACCACGACTCGGTCTGTCCCCAAGGGTCTGATCGCGCCGGGTGGGCGCTGCACTCCCCAGCCCTGGGCCTCCGGCTGAGGCGCCCTGACCACCAGTGGACACTGCACTTGGGGAGGGGCAGACCGCGTCCAGGAGCAGGAAGGCGGGGACGAGGACTGGGGTCGACCGGGGTCCAGACCTGGTCACAGGGGCCCTGCACGGGGCCGGCGGCCATACCTCCGAACAAGACACTGTTGTACCTCTTCTCGGCTGGCATCCTGATCGCTGCGGCAAACCAGTCCACACCTCGCTGCCACGAGCCGTAGAGGGGGTCCTGAGGAACACGGAAGTGTGACGGGCGGGGGGCATGGGCAGCCATCTGGGGGGGGGTCAGGGCGCCTCTGGGCAGGGCCATGGGGGCGGTCTCACGTGGGCACGGCCGTGGCTCTCCAGCAGCCCTGGCAGCAGGGGCAGGAGCAGAGTGAAGGCCAGGAGGTCCAGCAGGAGGCCGAGGAAGACCACAGTGACCACGCGCGTCTCCTGCGCCGTCTGTTGGCGGATGGGTGGGCGCGGGGTGCAGCTCCCTCCGGCTCCCCAGCCCATGATCCCGCCTGGCTGAGAGTGTGGCGGGTCTGCATGAGGCCACCTCTGGGTACCCGAGCGCCGGATGCCTACCCTACACAGGGGTGCCTCTGCGCCCTCCCCCCGACCCCGGGTGCAGGAAACTCCGGCTGCGGGGTTGCGCCAAGACACCGCAGCCACTGATGCCAACCGTCGCCAGGGGCCGGATCCGGGCATCGCGGCCCCGGGCACCATCCCACCCCACGCGGCCACCCCACGTCCTCGTGAGGAGCGGGCGGGGAAACTGAGGCCCCGGCGGCGTCCCTGCGGCCCGAACACGATCCCCGCCCAGGACCCCGGGCCCCGGCCTCCACCCCCACCCCCCCGCCCCGGGACCTCGGCCCCCCCGATCTCCGCCCCCCCCTCCCCCTCCCGCCTCGCCTCGCCCGGAATCCCAGACCTGGCCCCCACCCGGCACCCCGCCCCGCCCCGGCCCGCATCCTGGGCGGGGCAGTGGGGCGCGCACTGGGCGCGGGAGCAGCCCCGCCCTGCACTTGCCGCGGCCGCGCGCTCGGGTTGGACGGACGGACACGGACACACGGACAGATGGACGGATGCGGAATGGACGGCCCGGCCCGCTGCCAGGGGCGGGGCGCACGCCGACCACGCCCCCGCCCCGCCCCGGAAGTGTGGACGGAGGCCTGCTTCCTCTTCCGGCCGGCGTGCGCGGAGTGCGGGCTGGTCTGGCGGAACCGCGGGCCGTCCTCCTGCAGGGCAGCCGCCGCAGGCGGGCGCCAGGGTCCCTTCCCGCCGTCTAGCCGCCTTCGCGGAGCGCACGTGGTGCGGGGCGCTGCGCCCTGGAGGGCCGAGTGGTGCGGGCCGGCCCCGACCCTCTCCGGCCAGCGGGCGCCTCCGACGTGTCGGCCCGCGGCTGTGACCGCACACATTTGTACCCCGGGGCCCCGGGACGGGTGGGTGAGGGGTAGGGGGCCCGCCGCTGGCCTCTCCTGCTGCCGGCCTGGCCCCGCGCCGCGGAGGCCCTCATCTCCTCCTGACCTACCCCCTCCCGCACTTCCCGCCCTCCTTACCTCCGCATCTGTGCCCTCCTCCCTCCCACCTCCTGGCTTCCAAGGTTCCTGAGACTCTGGCCAACCCTAACCAGAAAGTAACGGGAAGTTTGGGAAATGTGGTTAGGTTTCCAGGTTGATGTGCGTGCACAGCCCACTTTGTCGACTTGGCACTCATACACCCTCTTTACACCATATTAAAATCCCAAATAAAGATAATCGCAGTCACACTCTGCTTGATAGAGGCAAGGAGTCAACCTCTAACCCAAACCAGTCAGCTTTCTCCAAAGGACACGTCTGGGTCATGTTCATTTTCTTCCAGCTGAGCCACGCTGCCCCTTCGGTAGCCTGTGGCCTCCATGCCTGAGGCTTTGGCCCCGTTAACTTCCTTAGATGGTGGGGGTGGCTGCAGAAGGGCAGAGCTGGGACTACGTATGCAGAATTCATCACAACTGCTCAGAACAGCCCTCCTCCTGGGCCAGGTGGGTCCCAGTGGGTCTCATACCTTTTTCCACAACTCATTCTATATACTCCCCTCTGCAAGGGGCAGAGGCAGGGCTGTGATGGACCAGCCACACAGATACATTTCCAAGAATTACGTCTGGAGTGGGGTTGGGCAGAGGCCCAGGGTGGGCAGAGTGGGGTATGTTCCAGGGATACGTGATCCAGAGCTGGGGCGTTATGGGCTAGTCGTGGGCACATTCCATCCCCATGGGACTGAAGAGCAAGGCCTCAGCCCAAGAACCCAGCCAGCACCTGACTTGGTCCCATTTTCCTGGGGCGGTCGGGCAAGAGTCCTGGGTCCAGGGACTTGGTGAATTAAAGTAGCAACAGCTGTGTAACAGCACAGGCTGTGTGGGAACAGCAGGCCAGGCCCCCCCAGCCGAGGGGAGTGTGACGGGGCCTGTGGATTTGGGGAGCCACACACCAGGCAAGCGGGTCTCCGACGAGCCTAGGGGAGGCTGGCTGAGTGTTCCCGCGTCTCATGCCCAAGCCCAAGGCTGCTCTGGGCAAGCATAGCTTGAGTGCCACGCGCCCGCAGGGATACTCCGGCCCCATGCTCTCCATCCTGACTTCCAACACCCCCCAACTTGTCCAAGACCAAACCCCCCATTCTCCCCACCACCATCAGGTCACCCTGTCCCTCCGCCCCCACGTCCATTCTGGCCAGGCCTCCGATCCCTCTGTGGTCACTGCTGTGGCTGGCCGCGTGACCTCAGGGACCGGCGGCTCGGCACAGGCACCGGGGCCACCATGCAGGGCAGGTCAGTGTGCCACAGGCTGTGTGACGTCAGCCTCCGCGCTGGGCCCCACATCACCGGCCTCGTTGGATGGTACCGGACAGAACGCATCCTCGCCCTCAGTCCCAAATCTTGTGATGAACGGAGGCGCGTCTGCACCGGATGGAGCAGAAGCCCCTGCTCGCTGGCGAGGCCTGATTCTCCTGGAGGCCCGGGGGCCGGAGCGCAGGGAAGAGCCCGGGCGCACGAGAAGGTGGCCTTTATTACGTTCAGTGCACAGTACCTCCCTGCCCTGTCTGGGAAACTATTTTTTGAACTTTTTCCTCTTCAGAGCCTTCCATTCACCTTCCTGTGTGGCCAGGCTGTTAAAAAGCTGTTTCACTTTTCGTTTTCTTTCCGCATCCCTTAAAAAAAAAAAAAAAAAGAAAAAACCCCATTTTTACATCAGCTTTTGCCCTTTTCCCTACGTGACCCAGTAGCAGCTCGCATCCACGTGGGCCAGCACACACGGAGTGGCAGGAAACGCGCCTGCCCAGGCCCCGGGGCCGGCAGTCACTCACGGGGACCTGGCCCGAACCCCCGGCAGCCCCGGCCACCGCCGCCGCTCACCGTTCCAGGGTCTCTGAGAGCTGCATTCGAGCCAGGAACTGGTTGTCCCTGCGGATCTCCCGGACGGCTCCTTTAAATTCCCGCTTGTGTTTGTGGATCAGTCTCTTTCTCTCCTGTTCCTCCTTGCTGCTTCCCTGCTTCTTCCCGAACTCGAGGCTGAGGCGGAAAGCCAACGTCAGGTCCAGCCCGCCTGCCTCCCCGCCCCCACCCCCGCCACCCGACGTGGCGCCCCACGGCTGACACGCACACTCTGACCAGCCGGGGGGTGAAGAGCTTCAGCGGCAGCGGCTTGCTCTTCTCACACACCAGTGGCCGACAGCACTGCTCCTGCTTTTCCATGTCGGCCAGTGCGCTCTGGCACAGCTCCTGAAACATGGGGGCACGCTGGGGCTGCAGCAGGCCCGCCCGGCACGTGGCCTCGGGGCCCAGGGCCTCCTCTGCTAAACGGGGGCACAGCTGAGGGAGCCCCACCGCGTGTGGACAGGAGTGGGGGGCCTGCGCACAGGACAGCTCACACCCTTGCGCACACTTCCCGCTGGCAGGACGACAGATGCCTGAGGCCCTTCTAGAAGGTTCCTTGGGCACTCGGGAGTGCTTCAGCATCCAGCAGACACCATGGAATCTCCTTCCCCAGAGAAACTGGTCACAATGGGCATGAGTGACTCGCCCCTATGGACACACACGGGAGCGTCTTCACTGTAGCCCAGGTGGCTGGGGGGGTGGCCACACCATGGGCACTGAGCAAGACCTCGTGCAGGGAGAACGGTCACTTCTCCTAAGTCATCCCACTACCGTCATTTCCCATGGGTGTTTCTAGAGCTGCACCTCAAGACAAGCTCACCCACTAACCGGCTCCCCACTCACAGAGGCGGCTGAGCCTGCGCAGAAGGCCGCGTGGTGGGAGGCCTCACCTGGAGCTCCGGGGGGTGACTGCAGTCGGCCAGGTGCTCTGTCAGCAGGGCTCTGAGCGGCCTCATGATGGTCTGGAAGGACGGCAGTGGGCTGTAGAGTAGCACGCAGCGCTTCACCAAGGCCAGACACACAGCCAGGCAGGACAGTCTGCAAGGGGGCAACACCCAGCTTCAGGGCCAGAGGCAAGAAGGGGACCAGCTCATTCGGTTCAGTCACTGCCAGTGTCAACCCTCTCGGCAAAAGTTAAAATCTCCAACCAACAGCTCTGAAAAACCCAACAGGGGCTGGAGTCCACGTCCAGCGTGGCAGCAGGTGGGACAGACGCCCCGTGTCCCTGAGCAGGGAGGGTCACTGTGGGAAATGCAGCAGCAACTTGAAAATGAGTGACTCCACTTTAGTTTTTAAAAGACTATTTGCAAAATCAAGCCGACATTATCTTGAAAAATAATACGCATGTTCTGGGAAAGTTTTTTCTCTTTTCACAGACCCGACCAGACATTTCCCGGGGAAGACATGCAGATGGCCCCTCATCTTCAGGGAAATGCCAATCAAAACCACATGGAGTTAACACCTCTTACCCATGAGAATGGCTACTGTTAAAAAAATAAATGCTGGGAGGACACAGAAAAACTGGCAGGGATGCAACAGTGGGGGGCGGTCCTCAAAAACATGAAACCTAGAACTACCATATGACCCAGCAACTCTGCTTCTGCGTATGTACCCAGAAGAATTAAAAGAAGGGTTTTGATGAGATGCCGGCACCCCCGTGTTCACGGCAGCATTATGCACAGCAGCTGAAACAGGGTAGCACCCCAGTGTCCGTGGACGGACGGATGAACAAAACGTGGTCCATCCACACAATGGAATGTCATCCAGCTTTAAACAGGAAGGACATTCTGACACCTGCCACCACATGGATGAACTTGGAGGACACGATGCTATAAAGTGAAATACACCAGCCAGAGAGGACAGACACTGTGATCCCACTTCTGGAAGGTCCCCAGAGGAGCCAGATACTGGAGACAGAAGGCAGACCGGGGGTGGGGGGGGGTGCCAGGGCTGGGGAGTGAGTGTGTGATGGGTATACAATTTGTCTTACGAATGGGGACTTCTGGGGGTGAATGGAGGTGGTGGCTGCACCAGGATGTAAATGTACTGAATTCCACTCAACTGTTGGCTTCAGGATGAAAATGGTAAACTTTCTGTTGTCTCTTTTACCACAACAAAAGGATATTTCAAATCCATACTTTTAAAAAATCAGAAAACAGAAGGACGTCTGATAAAAAGCCCCAGCCCTCCTGTGCACTGAATGTGTGTGCCCCCCCAGTTCACATGCTGAAACCCAGTCCCCAGTGTGATGGTGTCTGGAGGGGAGTCCTCAGATCCACAAACATGAGCTGTTTTCTTGCCCTTTGTCTTCCTTAACAGTGCCCACGATGTTCTGTCTCAATTATCTCTCCCTCCTTGGTT